CCGCGGCGGCGGTGGAGCGGGGGAGGGTGCGGGTGGTGCTCGGCGGCGGTGGAGCGGCCGGGAAGGGTGCGGTGGGTCGTCGACGGCGGTGGAGCGGGGGAGGGTGCGGTGGGTCGTCGGCGGGGTGGAGCTGGTCCCAGGTTACTAATGGCGCACCCCTGGCCGTGCGCCATTAGTAGTTTTGCAAAAAAGTGTGTGTGTGTGTGTGTGTGTATATATATATATAGGAAAATGGGTTGATACTCCTAGGAGTACATACTCTCACCTTCGAACTCCACACACACACACGTACTGGCGAGCAATCGTTCCGTGTCCATCTAAGCAACTAGCTATTATTTAATAATTTAATTTAATTAAAGTATTACTATTCCATCTAACCCCTCCGCATATATATATTAATGGCGCACCGTGGCATAGTATGCCATTACTAGTTTAAACTAGTAATGGCGCACTTTGCAACGGTGCGTCATTAGTAGTTTTGCCAAAAAAAATACAATAGTGACGCACTCCATGGCTGGTGCACCATTACTAGTTAGAACTACTAATGACGCACTTTGCCAGGATGCGCCGTTAGTATGTTTGGAAAAATGAAAAAAAATGTTACTTGTGGCGTACCTTGTGCCTGGTGCGTCATTAATATCTTCCACACTAATGATGCATCACCACATGATGCGTCATTAATATATAGTAATGACACACCACTTCTCTGGTGCGTCATTAGTGTCAATTTCATTTATAGCTTTTTTCTTAGTAGTGTAAATGGCCCGGGTAAGGAGATGAATTCCAACTAGGGTCTGCGGAGCAGCGGCCCGGTTAATGTGGGCCGAGCAGGCCATACGAGTGAAAGAGTAAATAATTGGCAGAAGTCAGCGGGGGACGACCGAGGGATCCAACCGTAGGGTGAGCGAGATCTAACGGCTACCAAGCTCAAAGCGCTGTGGTGGGCCCTAGGTGGCTCGGTTTACTTCCTTTGTAATGTACGGAGTACAATGTTTCAGCGCCGTGGTTTGAGACGCACGCTTCTAAATCACTCGACCAACTTTATCACCGGACACGGACGTATGTGGTTAGAGACGAAACACATTTTAACAGTACGTAGCCTTCAATTCAGGGAAAAAGTTGTCGATAATACGGGTACGGTATCACAATTAGGATACAATACAGTATCTTAATTCTCCACACATATCTTACTTGTCCACACATATTTTACAAAAAGTTGTCGATAAAAGTTTTTCGATCACCACACATATCTTAATTCTCCTTTTTCGCGCCCGCGCACGGCTCTCGTCCCACTCTGTCGCGATTTCCAACCGTCTCCTCATCCTGGGCACCTTCTCCACCTTTAAAATCCCAAGCATCTCTCCAACTCCGTCAAGCCTCACGCCACAACACCCAGAGAGCAGCCTAGCTAGCCACCCATCGGCATCACCAGTTCACCACACACGCGAGGCAGAGAGGAACAGAGAGAGTGCGGAGGAGCAGAGATGGTGAAGATCCCGAGCCCGAGGAGGCTGTTCAGGAGCCGGTCGAGGAGCACGGTGGGCGGCATCGGCGGGGTGGACATGTGCGCCATGGTGGCCGAGCACGAGAGGATCGAGTGGGAGGTGCGGCCCGGCGGGATGCTGGTGCAGAAGCGCCGGGCGCCCGACGACGACGGCTGCGACGACGCCGTCGAGGCCATCCTGGTGAGAGTATCCGCCGGCTGCGGCGGGTGGCAGCACGACGTGTCCGTCGACGCCACCGCCACCTTCGGCGACTTCAAGGTTCTGCTGTCGCTGGCCACTGGGCTGTGGCCCAGGGAGCAGCGGCTGCTGTACCGAGGCCGGGAGCGGGACGACGGCGACCACCTGCACATGGCCGGCGTGCAGGACAAGGACAAGGTGCTCCTCCTGGAGGACCCCGCCGTCACGGAGAGGAAGCTCAGGTCCACCAGCCTCGCGCAGCTCATGGGGGTGCCCAGCCATTCCTTCATCCAAGTCTAAGAAACCCACACCCATCAGCTGGTCTCGCTGTTTGTTTGGGCGAAGACCGGTTTAACTGCATTCTTTTCTTTCTTTAGAGTTTTTATGGGTTCAATCAGGGCTTAGATTTGGCCGATTGAATCGAAAAACGGGCACCGTTAGGATACAATACAGTACCTTACTTGTTGTAAAATATTGTAATTTGTATAAGCAGACAATGACAGTGTCGCAGTGATTGTGTTTTCTAGTACAAATGTGTACATGTGTGTCTTTATTCTTTGTTGCTGGCTCCTTGTACATTCTTCCGCTGGAATTAGCTTGCGCTACATGTACATCTCTTGCAATTTACTTGTGTTTAAGCATTCTTTCATACATTTATGTTTAAGCAAGATGTACACATTAATTAGAATTGAGAATATATTTTCTGAAGGTAACGGCCAACTATATTTAAGACATGACTTAACCTGGATTACAGTCAGTTCCACACATGCGAAGGCACTGTCTTTCTTTTAGGTAAATGTCGCCGCTTTATTAACTTAAAAGAAGTTCGGAATCTCGTCCGCAATCACGTCTAGAATGCATTGGAGGTACACCTAGCCAAACTTTACAAAGTTTCTCACCTACATCTACTTTTGCTAATTTATGCGCGACAACATTAGCTGAACGCATAACCCAAGAAACTCTAAAATCATCAAAAGAACGGAGCAAAGTCTTGATTTCCTCAATCCAAGGTCGTACTGCTGACAAGTCCTTCTCTGGCTGTTTGATCATGTGTACCAGAGACTGGCTGTCCAGTTCAACATGTACCTTTTGCTCATTGATTTCCGCTGCTACCAGAAGAGCTCTTTTGCACGCCATAATCTCGGACGCATCGGGATCGACCACATTTGGAAACAGGTGGCACGCACCCGCCAAGAAACCTCCATTCTCATCTCGAAGCACTGCTCCTCCACCAGCTTTTCCGCCTTGCCTTGAGATAGCCCCATCTGAATTTGCTTTGACCCACCCCTCATCTGGAGCTCTCCACCTCTGTATAATCGCTGGTTTTGTGATCCGGATCGACGCAGGGATGCAAAACTACTAATGGCGCAGCGGAGATCGACGCAGGACGCTCCAAAACTCGAGCCCCCAAAGCCAAAAGATGCCGCTGCCTGCCTGCCTGCCTCCTCATCCGCCGGTCGCCGCCAACCCCGAAGCACTCCTCCTTCGCTCCACACCAACCTGCTCGCAGCCGAGCTAGCTGCTGCTATGGCGCCCGATCAATCAGACTCCTCCGCCAAGTCCACTCTCCAGCACGTACGTGCGCACGCACCCGACGCGAGAAAGGGACAGGAAGAGGCGACAAAAACCGGGCCGGTGGCAGGAATTGGGCTACGGGTCGCTCAAACTAAACTAATCCCTCTACCGAATCGACACCAATGACGCGGCGGTTCCTCCATCGGCGTCTCGGCAAATCACTGTGCGCGCCTCCAACCGCTCGAGTGATAGAGCCTGCACAGTGTTGGCGGTCCGGCCGCCCGCCGGCGCCGCGATCTCCTCCTGTAATATAGGCTACAGGGTCCGAATCAGCGGTTGGAATACGGCCCCCGCGCATGTGCAATCACCAGATCGCCGATTGGCGACCAAATCCAGATGGGTGCAGTGCTAATATCGTGGTGGTATTATTATACGGATAGCTCGGGTGCATTTCCCTTCGGCTATGCTACAAAGGCTACCCGATCGATCAGGGGTCGGAGCAGCGGTCAGGTGAAGCGAATCATTTCCTATTTTCTTTTCATTCTTTTTTTAATACAGTACAGACGCAAGCGCTTATATAAACGCGCATACACTCACCCCTATAAACGCATACACGCACACCCTACCTCTATGAGCACCTCCGAAAGACTGAGCCGATATATCATCTTGAGATTTTACGATGTCACCGTAGGCGCCTCGTAGTCGATGGGAACATCTCCTCTCACTGAAAGCGTATTGCCGGAATTCCTAAAATAAATGCCGCATGCCCCTGCCACGTACACGTACGAGATTCATGGTTCCTAGACGTATGTATGCTTCACCGCCATGGTGTGAGATGCAACTTTACCCTAAAAAAAACTGGATCAACTTATCACCGGAGACGCACGCACGTAGTTTTTCAAAAAGGGGTGTTTTATTATTTAAAAGGTTTAAGTATTACATCCGGTTTCTGCATAACTAAGATGCACACAGCTAACAAAGGGCACACACGTAGTTGGATAGAAACGGTACAATTAGCACATGAATTCAGTTTGGCGAAAAGGTTGTCTAGAATGGAAGAAACTTCCTTGAGGGGCGACCCCAACCATCACCGTGTCGGCCATCCCCCCTCCCGGCCGCCCTCCCTCCTCATCGCCTTCGCCTGAGGTATGGCAGCGGTGCAGCGCCGCAACAGGGTTCTCTCCTTGTGGGTCAGCGACCTCGGATCCAGCATGGCATGCTTGCGGAGCCAGGTGGTTGGTGGCGATCCCGTGTGCGTGGGGGGGGGGAGGGGGGTCGACGCCGGTGCGGCAACATCCATGTCGGGTGATAATCGGCATGTTCGTCCCTCCTGATCGACAATGAGATTCAGCTCTCCTCTATCTTGTGGTGGTTGAAGCCAAAAACTTTCTTCCCCCACCCTAGTCTACTATGCTTTGGTGGTCTTCAAGGGTCGACACACTAGGTCGGGAAGAAATACTTGCTCGGTGATTGGATGTGGAAAAAGGCAATGCATGTGGGTGTCATTTCTTCCTTGGAGGCGTTGCCATGACCTTCCTTTTCCTTCCTTGGCACCAGGGGAAACCCTAGGTCTAGTTCGCTAAGCCAGACGGCGAAGTTACGGTCTCGTTTTTCCTTTTATCCTCATCTTCTGAATCGTCAAGTGAGGAGGACTTCTCCTTGGAGGCACTGCCTAAGCGCCAGTGGAGTCTAATGGAGAGGTGGTTGTAGTTTGTTGCCTCGTCGGTCTCAGTTGCGAAGCTTGGGGTGGTGTGTTTCATTGGCGGTGGTCGATGCCATGGGCATGGGCATATGGGGCGCAATGTACTCCACCGTCGATGCCTTCGGAGCAAAGTATTCATCGGGTCCTATTGTCCACTTGTTGGTTATCTTGGACGCTAACGGTGGAGAGTGCGTTGACTTAGTCCGATCGCGGCTTGGTGCTCTCAGAAGGCAAGTTGTGTCTCGTTGTAGCCGTGATGGGTGCGGCGCGGTGTTTTTTTTAGGGGAAAATCATGCCGCTTTATTTATCCGAAGCTCGGAATCTCGTCTGCAATTACATCTAAGATAAAGTCCGGTGGAGAGTCCACCCAAATCTCCGATCTATTATCTCCTACACCTACTTTAGCGAGTTTATGAGCGGCTACATTCCCTGAACGTCTTACCCATGAAACCTTGGCTTCCACCATTGTATTGAGCATTGCCTTGATGTCCTGAACCCACGGTCCCACCGCTGATAGGTTCTTCTCTGGACTGTTAAGCATCTGCACCACGGCTTGATTGTCTAGCTCAATATGAGCCCGCTGAATGTGAAGATCAATGGCCACCTGAACAGCTTTCCTGCAAGCTAGAACTTCCACCATCTCGGGATCAATAATGTGTGGGAAATAATGGCAAAAACCAGCCCTAAACGCTGCATTGTGATCTCTAAAAACTGCACCACCTCCTCCTTTGTCTCCATGCCTTGATCCAGCGTTGGGAACCTCCTGAAGATGGATGGATTAAGAGGTCTAGTAGAGCCCCCTCTTGGGATCCATGGGTCGTGATGGATGTTAATGCTTGCACCCGAACCCACCCTCCATATAAGTCCTTCCCGCAGCAAATCCCTTCCGTGCAATATGCTTCAAAACGTGTAAGATCAAGACGGGCAAGTGGCTGACAATATTGTGTCGTCCTTAAAACACCATGCTTTAAGCACTCGCGCACACAAAGAAGTGGGCACCTGGAGTACCCGCCATGCTTGTTTTGCCAACAATGCTTGGTTAAAGGCCTCCGGGTCCCGAAAGCCCATACCACCATCTCGCTTGCTAGCACACATCTTCTGCCAAGCTACCCAATGAACCTTCCTTTCACCATTCATTGCACCCCACCAGAATTTAGAAGAGATCGAGGTCAGGTTCCGGCACATCTTCTTCGTGAGGTGAAAACAACTCATGGTATAAGTCGGTGTCGCTTGGAGAATAGATTTAATCAGCACTTCTCTGGCCGCTTTAGACAACCCTTGGCCCTTCCATCCACTCACTTTGCCTTTAGAACATTCAGTAACATATTTGAAAGTACCATCTTTAGATCTACCAACCAGTGTTGGAAGACCTAAATAATGCTCACTAAGAGCTTCACACTGAATGCCTACAACATGTTTCATTTGTTCCTTGAAGTCACTTTGGCTCCCCCTCCCAAAGAAAATTGAGGATTTTGCAGATTAACTTTTTGCCCTGAAGCTTTTTCATACTTAACAAGAATCTATTTTATTGTCTCCATATTTTCTGTCGTTCCCTCAAGGAAGACAATACTATCATATGCAAACAGAAGATGGGTTACATGGGGCCCGTGCTCCCAGAACTTACCCCTTTAATTTTCCTGTCATTCTGGGCCTTCTTGAGGAGCGCTGAAAATCCTTCCACACAAAACAAAAAGAGATAAGGTGACAACGGATCACCCTGTCTGAGCCCACGGGAGGGTAATGAAGGAAATATGCCCTAGAGGCAATAATAAAGTTATTATTCATTTCCTTATTTCATGATAAATGTTTATTATTCATGCTAGAATTGTATTAACGGGAAACATAATACATGTGTGAATACATAGACAAACAAAGTGTCACTAGTATGCCTCTACTTGACTAGCTCGTTAATCAAAGATGGTTATGTTTCCTAACCATAGACATGTGTTGTCATTTGATTAACGGGATCACATCATTAGGAGAATGATGTGATTGACATGACCCATTCCATTAGTTTAGCATCCAATCGTTTAGTATGTTGCTATTGCTTTCTTCATGGCTTATACATGTTCCTATGACTATG